CCTTTTTTTTTTCCACAAAAATACACTTTTTTTTTTAATTTTTTAAAAAATATTAAAGGATTAAAAAAAATTATTTTTTTTTTCCCAACCAAGAAGAAAATTAAGGTTTTTTACCCCCTTTTTTTTTTTTAAAGAAAGCGGTTGTCAAAAAATTTGGAGCGGGGGGAGGGAAAATTTAAAGGGGGGGGGGAAAAGAAAAATTTTTTTTTTAAAAAAAAAAAAATTTATACTTTTTTTTTTTTTATTTAAAAAAAAAAAAAAAATTTAATTAAACCCTTTAAAAAAAAAAAAAAAAAAAAAAAAAACAATTGTCTTTTTTATAATAAATTATTATAATTTATAACTAATGAATTTCATTCTATAGAATAGTTTCAACCTTATCTTTTTCATAAAATTTTAGATTGATAATATTAATTAAATCTATTTGTTCGATTTAAAAATTTAATTAAATTCTCTCTCTATTGATATCCAAAATACACAGGTAAACTTTTACATTTAAAAAAAAGATTTGAAAAAAAAAAAAAAGATTAATTAATTAATTCATTAAATCAATTTAAAATTATAATTATTTTATTAAACATAAATCAATTTAAAATTATTCTAAAAAATTTAATTTTTTTTTTATAAAAATATTTTTTATTTTTTATTAATTTTTTTATTTATCACTTTATTCATTATATTTTTTCCTTCAGTAGAGGTAGTCTTTAAAACTCAAACTTACATAGTTGTATTTAGTTTCCAATTTTGTTTAAGAAAAAAATTCTATTAGTCAACTTATACCATCATATCTTTTTTTTTTTTAACAAAGCATTTTTCTCAAATTAAAGGTAAATATTTAAAATTATTTTTAATAAATAATATAAATAAACAAACTAATTTTTATTTAAATATTATAGAATATATCCTAAATTAGAGAAAAGATCCAACTTGGGCTGAAGGTTTGATCTCTGCTAAATTTTAAGAATATGAAACAAAAAATGGAAATTCTTAGATTATAAAAAGAAATAAAAGAAACTAAAATAGGTTTAAGACTTGGGTTTTGTTTATTGATAATAGTTTTTTATGTCAAGTTTAAATCTATCACAATGCTTAGCAACCTCTTCTTTAGATTCATTCCAATCCCCACTTCCATAATTTTTAGTATTACCAAATATTTTATTACAATTAAAAAAAAAAAAAAATTTTGTTATAATAAAAAAAAAAAAAAAAAAAAAAAATAAAATAAGTGCTGTTTTTTTTAAAAAATAATTTTTATCTTTTTATAAACAAAGATATTTCAGATATAATATTTTAGTTTAATTTTTTTTTTCAAATAAAACAATAAATGGCTTTTTTAAAAATCTATTTTTAAAATTTTTTTTTATTTTTTTTAATTTTTATTTTTTTTTTATTTTTATTTTTTTTATTTTTATTATTTATTTTTTTCAAAACACAACAAACAAAAACATAAATCATTTTAATAATGTAAAATATAGAACGTCCAATAAATAATAATAATAATTTTAACATTACTGAAAATATTTTTAAAACCTTTCGAGAACAAGTAAGTAAATTAATACATTATTTTAAAACAACAACAACAACAAACCAATATACATATAGAAATTGGCATCGTTTAAGAAATATAGAAAATAGACGCAGAATCACTACATAAACTAAATTGACTATATTAATTAATATTCAAAAAAGCAGATTTACCAATTAAAACCATTCAATACACCAACAGGATCAGTTGTGGTCGATATCATGAATGAAAGGATTTTGATCAATAATATAAAGATTTAGCCAATATTTACCAAATGCACAGCGAACCTATTAAAACAGATTTTATACTATTTACAAGTAATAATAATAAATACCAATCCAATCACGAACTATTGCTCAATAATAATAATAATTTCAAAATTAATATCAATAACAATCATAAATGTCACAAAGTCGCAGAAACTCAAATTCTTTCAATCTCTGGTAAATCAGCCAAGGCAAAATTCAAATCAATTACAAGTTCATGTAAAAATTCAAAAGCGTTAATGGATGTACCGTTTAGCTCTTATAGACGCTGAAAAATGCGAAGAGAAAACAGAAATCCATTAAAAGTGGTAGCATCATATTCATCAAAATCTAATGTTGGTAGTTCAAATGCAGGTGCTAATAGTTCACCAATCATCCCATTGAATACTTCAGAAGAAATCAATGGTGATAGAATCAAAGAGACTGAACATGAATTTGAAAGCTATAGAAATGCAAAAGGGACTTTAGCAATGGAATAAGATTTAGAAATCAAACAATTAATAGAAAATAGAGATTACTGACTCAAAAGGTTCATTTGGAAACAGTTAGAAATACACAATTAAATTTTAAAATTGAAAATATCGAAGAGGAGATAAGACAAAGAATAGAAGAAAAGTTAAATATTTTAAGATAAATAAATTAATAAATAGATAATATAGACTTATCAAGAGAAGCAATCTAAATTAGCAATTAATCATTTAAAATAGCCAAATTCTTTAGTTAGTGCCAATAATAACAATGCCATTGGTGTTCAAATTAAACCAAACCAAACATTAAATTCAAAAAATAGCTCATCATCAATTTGGAACTCATTATTTAAAAAAGATCACCATTATCAAATAACAACATCTCACCATTGGCCCATCCACCACATTTACCTCCATTACCATTTGGAGATATAAATATATATATGCAGTTCTACCAATTTCACTTACCAAACCATCTTCTAGAGTACAGAACTAATAAATTCAGTAAACTAAAATAAAATAATAAATAATTTAAAAATACAAAGAAATAAAATAAAATTAAATAAAATTTTTTTATAAGCTTTATTTTCTTTTTATTTTTTTTTTCACAGATAAAATAAATATATTTACTCGAATCAGTTTAAGGTAATATTTATAAATATAATTTATTTTTAGAGTAAATTTAACAGCATCTTCTACGACGATGACCAATATCAATATCAATATTAATAATGTTACTGTTACCACCACTGCATGGATTAAAACATGGATTGAAACCACATGAACTGCCACCTAAACTATTACTGAACCAAACCGATTCATTATCAGAGAATGAGACACTTCCAGATGAGCTTAACATTGATTTAGATGAGGCACCGTTAACTGGGTTCATTGATGAAATAAATTCTATGAAAAATAAAAAAATATAAAATAAAAAAAAAATAAATGGAACTTGTAGTGGTTGTGGTGTTTGTTGTAGTGGTAGTATTGGAATTTAAACTTGATTCGCTATTTGTATCATCACCATCACCACTATTACTGCTAGTTGCAATGGTTACTGAAAATGTTTTAAACTCTTCATTTTCATTTTCAAATAATCTTGGTAATGTAGTGGGTGAATTATTATTCATATTGATATTTATATTATTTAAATGATTTACATTGTTACTATTATTCATTGTTGAGCTATTATCTTCATCATCAGTTTCGTAATTGTAGTCGCTAAATGGCTTTTCTACACCATTTTCATTTGGTATACTATTTCTATTGCTATTAATTTTTAAATTTGATATATCTATACTATTATTTATGCTACTACTATAATTATTATTACTATTAAACTCTATATTACTCTTATTTACACCGTTTGCTATTATTAATATCATCATCATCGTCATCTTCATTGTCATCTATATTTTGTTTTTGTTGTGGTGGGGGTGGTGCTATAATTCTTTCAGTTTGAGTGGTAAATACAACAGAGGGTCCATAGGTTTCGCAAAAATGAGTTAAAACGATTGATGCAGGCATTGAATTACAGTCTAAATTATTTTTATTGTTATTGTTATTATTATTATTATTGTTGTTATTATTATTGATTCCATTATTAATATTATTACCAATATTATTTATTATATCATTATTATTTTTATTTTCCTCGATCAAGTAAGATGGAATTTTAACTCTGATCATAATTTATTAAGATTTTTTTTTTTATTACTATGATACATATATTAAAAATGTATTTTTGTCAAATATAAAAAAATTAAAAAAATAAATAAAAAAATAAAAAATAAAAAAAAATAAAAAAAAAATATTTTTAATTTTTTTTTATTGCATTAAATATAAAAAAAAAATAGTGTGTTTGGGCAAATATTAAAAAAGATATTCGGTTAGGTTAAATATACAATAGCTTGAATTTGATGATTCTATTCTTAGAGAAGAAGACATGGCTCGATGGTAGGTTTTGTGAAGGTTATTGAAAGGAAAAAAAAAAAATTTTAAAAAAGTAAAAATTTTAAAAATAAATAGAAAAAAAATTAGATGAAGGGCGAAAAAAATAAAAATAAGATGTATATATTTATGCGGTTATTTAATAATAAACATTAGATCTGTTGGGAAATTATAAAAAATGATAAAAATGAATAATTTTTTTTAAAAAAAGATAATTTTAGAAAAAATTTTTAAATGGATGTGCTAATGATAATTGGCAAAAACTGAGGATAACGTTTTTTTTTAATCTTTAAGATTTTTCAATTTCCACCTGCAGTTTTGATAATAATGCGGCAACCAGTGCCGCTTTAACGTATTTTTAAAAAAAATGAAAAAATATAAAAAAATTTCATAAGATATTTTAATTTTTTTTAAATTATAAAACGCAAAAGAATTTCAGTTTTTGAATTAATGGAATAATAAAAAATTTTTTTTTTTTTTTTTTTAAAAAAATAAAATCAATATGGCAATACTAATAATAATATTTTTTATTAAATTATTTATTAATTTTTCACTTCAATATTCACAATCAGAAAGTAAATAAAATAATAATAATAATAATAAATATTAAAATAATAATATTTTATTCCTTATTTATAGGCACATGTTTCACCAATTTATTAACAAAGTTAGGTTACAGCGCTCCACTAGATCTTTGCACAGATTCACCTTATTTTCTATGCGATGTAGATTTAAATATAATTAAAATGGTTTTTACTTATAGTCCTCAGTTAACAAATGAAGTTATACAGAATACCGATGTAAGATGTATTGGGCCTAATCTCAAAACTATGATTACCTACAAATGGAATATAGATGATAACTTTTTTGATTTTGCAACAGAGTCTTTAGATTACATGTAATTATAAATTAAATTAAATTAAATAAAATAAAATTAAAATAAAATATGGAAAAATATTAATATTATGAATATTAATAATAATAATAATACAGAGAAATGAAATCACCACCATTAATAAGCTTCAAGCACCCAATCAATTCAAAGAAATTCAAGATAACTTTAGGAAAAAGAATTGAAGAACCTTTTTCTCTATCGCTTTTTACTACACCCTTTAAAGATACTCTTAGAATTGAACCAGATCCTACACTATCGAACAATATGGATTATGGATTATATGTAAATAATGATTTAGAAAACACTTTAAGCGATCCTTTTGTTTGTGGAGAAGCCAGTTTTGTAACAAGGAATATCCCGTCAATGGAAAACGTTATTTCCAATGGTTTCTTTTCATATTTTTTAACAAGTGATTTTGATTTCAATTCTATCAAAAATATATCAACACATAAAAATATATATGGTGTTCTATTATTAGGTTTCCCAGGTGTATCTTATCCACTGGTTCCGCTGTCTATATTGTTTGGTTCAAAAGATTCAAATAGTGAAAATAGGTATATGGGTATGTAAGTATACTAAATTTTATAATTTTTAATTATAACATTTAATTAATATTTCTCGCACCCATTAAAGCCTTATAGGATATGATGTCCAAACACCAAATGAATTTATTGAATTTACAAGATACTCTTTTATTAGAATATTGTAAGTTAATTTTATTTAAATAAAAAAATCAATATTATAAAAACACTAATTTTATCTTTGATAATTAATAGATCATTTGCGAATACTCAGAATTTCCATATTAATGGTGAATTACCATTTTCAAAACTTCCAAATGGTCTTTTACAATTGTATGTATTATTATTTTTATTGTAATTGAAATTATAAAGAATAAACACTAATAATAATTAAATTTTAGTTCTTATTTTTTAGGGCCATTAAAAAAACTACCAAATTATAAAATATTTGATAATACAGATATTTATTATTTATCTTTTTATTCTAATCAAATAGGTGGTGATTTACCAAAATGGGATGGTTCTAAAAACAATATAACAACCTTAGATTTAAGCTCAAATTCAATAACTGGAACTATCGATGAATCTTATTGCTCTGTGCATTTAAATATTAGAAATAATTCAATGACAGGTAAAATTCCAGAATGTTTTAAATGCCAATTTAGCGATAGTTTTACAAAATACTACTTTAGTGAAAATTTATTTGATAACTACGATACAATAGAAACATGCAGTAAGTTTATAAAACATATTATTTAAATTAATATTATTATTAATATTAAAATATTTCTTAATAAAATTTTTAAATAGAAACTATTCCAAAATTAAAATATTTAAATCAAACTTTTTGGAAAATAAACAAAAAAGTAACAGAACCAGTATTATCATTAATCGGTCAAAACATTGGATATTCAGCATTTGGTGATATTGAATCAAATATACAATTTAATCTAATATTAAAAGCCAATTCAATAATTATTTCATATGATTCCTATACTCCAAATAGAACTATTCACGAAATAAGTTTCAAGAGTACCGGTCAAAAATTTACATTAACTCCAGATCCATATCCACCATTATTATCAAATATAACATCAAATAATCATATTTTAGTATTCAAAGGTTTATATTATTCATACGATATCACTGAAATAACAATTACAATTGGTGATAGATCTTGTGATGTAACTGATTCAACATTTTATCAAATTACATGTACTTTAACAACATATCCAAATCAACTGAATAATGTATCAAGTACAATCAAAGTAGATCAATTACAAACAAAATTCAATTTAAATTTAGATAATAACGATGGTAACGAAGTATTTAACAACTATACATCATGTCCATACAACTGCAACGGTTATATATGCAACTATAATACTGGTATTTGTGAATGCCCAAAAGACTGGACCGGTGAAAACTGTTTAACTCCAAATCATTATGTATCATCAATTACACCAACATACGAAGATGGCGGATTAGTAACAATGAATGGATGGTTCGGCGATATTCATCAAGATTTAAAGGTAACAATCGGTAATCAAGAATGCAAAATAGATACATTATCATCAAATACAATCACATGCAACATTGGAGCAGGTATAGGTAAAAAAGATGTAATCGTAAATCAAAATGGAATCACATGGAAATCATTCAACTTTTTTATATACCAATCAAAACAACAAACATGTTTAAACAACTGTATCGATACTAACCATGGTATTTGTAATACATCAAATGGTATTTGCGAATGTAAATCAGGATGGACTGGATTCGATTGCAATTCACCTTCAAATAACAACAACAATAACAATGGTAATACCAACAGTACAGTTAATCCAGATGGCTCAACAACAATTAATAACGATCAAACAACATACAATATATTAATCACATCATTATTAGAACTCGATATCAACAGTGACACAGTTAAACAATATCTACTTCAAAACAATTGGAATATTACATCAAATGATAAAAACGGATCAAATGTAACATTCACACAAATATTAAACGAAACTGAATGTCAAATCGTATTATCAATTCAAGAAATAGAAAATGATATTCAATATTCATTTGCAGGTTTAGAATTAAAATTAGATAAAGGATCAATTAAAGTATCAGTATCAATTCACAATTACAACTATCAAAGTCCACTCAATACATTACAATTACAAATGATATCAAATGTATCAGATACAACATCGAACGATTGTAACAGTAAATCAGCATCAACATCAACATCAATATTAGACAATCAAACATTAAACTATATATCGATCAACAAAGACAACAAGATTCTATATGGTAGATTTATAAACAGAGCAATATCAGATGGACACACAACATTAATCACCACATCATTAATATCGAATCAAAACGAATCAGTAACCATTGGTATTAACATTCCACATTGCAAAACATCATGTTATATCGATCCTGACTTTTCAGTATTGATTAATTCCAATTTCAAATCAAACTGTGACGAATCCAAAAACCATACTACTTTGATTGCAGTTCTTGTAAGCTGTATTGGTGTAGCTACTATTATCATTTTAGTAGGTACTTTTTATTTTTTTTATTTAAAAAGTACCAAAACTAAAGTTGTTGTTTTTAAACTTAAAAAAAAAATTAAAATGACTAAATAAAATAATAAAAAACAAAATGGATAAAAATTTTTTTTCACATTTAAAAATAAAATTTTTTTTTTTTTTTTTTTTTTTTTTAATTTTTTTTTCAAATTTTATTTTTATTTATTTTGACATATTTAATTAATTAATATTTATTTAATTTTATTAATAAATATAGATATATTTACTTTTTTTATATGGATCTTTGATATAACCTTCAGAATTTCTACATCTTTTTCTTACATTGGCCAAATCATTCTTTAAACAACCATATTTGAATTATCATCAAAATAATATTATCTTTTTTGGTTATTTCCTCAAATTTTACCAGTTGTCCCGAAACTGGAAAAATTCTCCCTAGATTAATACCTCTCTTAAATAATTATTAAAAAGGGATATATTAATCCTGCTGTTTTTAAAACATCGTCTAATGCCATTTATTTAT